CAATAAGTAAGAGTTACATACCGAGAACGGAGGCAATCAGCCTAATACATCCCGAGGGCCGTAGGCCCGAGGGATGTATAGGCTGATTGCCGACGTTCGAGGTATGTAACTGGCTTATTTCATACTTGAAGAAGTTTTCCAAGCACTGCATTAATATTTTCATTTTTAAATAGGCAAAGAAGCCGTTTTCATATGAATTAAAAACCAAACCCTCGATTAGAAAGATTACGAAATTTACAGTATTGAAAATTCCCAACGGGAATAATTTGCATAACCAATTTTCTCGTTAGTCCCATGAGACCAATGCTAACAATACACCTTTTGTAACAAGTAACTGGACAATGTTAAATAACTGTTTTATTCCATAACTGACATCGATTAGTCAGTTAGCATAACGTGTTAAGTATAGGATTTTCAAAGCTAAGGTTGTGGGTTCGAATCTACTTGGTGTCATTTGAATTTTTCTTTCTTTCTTTCAAGTTTAAAGTTTCAGACGGAAAATTTCTAAGTTGAACGTAGTAGTTAATTAGGTATTCAAGGGCAATAAGTACATTAGTATTCAAGGAAACTTCGATATAAAGCACTTGAATACACAATGAGCTGTGGAATAAGCTAGATACAACACTCAGTGTATGAATAACAAAGAAAACTGAATCAAGTATGAAATAATGACTGTTACTGATTCGAACTCCAGCCCTTCTTCACTCCTATACCCGCCTTAACCCACTACGGACTTTGAGAGATAAATGATGTAAAAGTGCGGGAGCAAACGAATTATTTTGTCCGGCAATCGAATGCGAGGTTCATGAAAGTTGACCAATCCTTTACATCAAACCGAGACAGGAGTTTAGCCTGAAGTGATAAATACGTTTTGTTCACACAATAATTGTGAGACAAATACTCACAGGTATATATCAATGCAAGCTCAACTGCTGTCTCGCTTTGATGCGAAGGCTTGGTTACCTTTCAATATTGCGACGGGAACTGTACCGATGGAGTATTTGTATTTTCACTGAGCTGGAAAGTAACCCTGTAATCCTAGAAGTCTTAAACCTTAGGCCTTTTGAGAATACAGGGTTAGTCTCAATTTTGAAAAAAAACTAATTTTCATGGCTATAATTGTAATAAGGAAATTTTTCGTGCCTTCTTTTGTATCTTTGCGTAATAGGATCTGTTGCCATAACTGCGGTCATGCGACCACATAAACAGGAATCCCTTGAGAAAAAAAGAAAAAAGCTATCGCCGCCATGTTGGATGAATGAACAAACGTAACTTCCAACTCGGACTGCAATATTACAAATATTTTTATGTTGAAACACGCTTCGGTAACATATAATAGATATTTACTTACCGATAACAAGTTTGAAAGTTTCCAACGTTGCTTGGCGGATGTTTGGCGGATTGTGGGCGTCAAGGCGTTTCTTGACTATTGACAAAAAATAAATAAAAAAAACAGCTAGCTGCAACCAAAAAAGTTATTGTATTTTGAGAGATAGTGGTTAATAATCTTTCATATTGCATATCAAGATTCTCAGAAAGGACGATCAATTAGTAACAACAATTGTAACAATTTCATTTACCAAAAAAAAACATCAAGATAATTCAACCTACATCTTAGAAATTCAGTGAATAACATAAGGAGGACTTCCGCTCCAACGAATTTTTTAAAACTTTTGTTTATACAAAAAGATCCTAAAATTTGTATCGAAACAAAACGTACCAATTATTTCTAAAAAAATCGAGTTTTTGTGAAAAGATCGCATAGATCATTGGATTATAATAAGCATATAAGTCACTGATTACTTGCATGAAGTTTAATCTGAATATAACATGGTATAGCAGGGTCTGAATGGGGGGGTCCCGATATCAGTTAACAGCTAAATTTTGGCAATTTTCTCAGTTATCAGTTAAATTTTTCGGTTCTCAGTAAAGCCACATGTTAATTATTGTTTTTGTGTAATAATTAACAACTTAATATTCAGTTATTAAGAAAAGTACATTTTACCAGTGGTCTGTTCTTTGAGGCTAAGAAAATTCCCCAAACAGTGGTATTCTCAGCTTTAATACTGAGCTTTCAACACTGTAGTCAATATTCAAACTCCGATAACTCTCAAAGTGTACCCCCTTCCCTTTTCTATAGTAGCAAACTAATAGTCTACTTTCACCATGCCTTTCATAACGATTATAGATGGAGATGTCTAAAAATGGAAAGTGGCGGGGCTTTGATAAAATGCAACAGCAGTTATATCTACACCATGACATTAAGTTGATATCACACATGATAGCCAGACAGTGACCGCGGAGCGGTTGAATATGTAGGGGCTGAGATGAGCGCCGAAGGCGCGAATTTTTTTAGGTGGGTACGGAGGCATTCCCCCAGGAAAATTTGGGAATTTTAATCCTCGGAAATGCGATTTACAGCATTTTGAGAGCATCGAGATGACATATGATGCATTAATTTTATGGAAATTTTGCGAAACTTAACAATGAAAAAAGGTATTTTGATCGTGACAATCCAAAGCAGTTAGTTAGTAGCGTGAGATTGCTTAATTGTTGTTTTGTCATATTTGATCTTAGCCAGTCAGACGTCGTACTGCTAAATATGATCGTTCGCACGAAGCGCTGGTTGGTGGATTGACTGCTAACAGCTTACATAGGGTCACCGCCTCACTAACTAAGCTTTATTCTGCTTTGGATAGTTTCCTAACTGCGGAAAGTATGCAATCGAAATATTCCATAGAACCCTCGTCCTTCAGTATCTGAAGCAGTCTTTAAAGTTTCCAACTTGATGCCGTCATCACATGCCTTCGTATAGTCGACCTCTGACCATCTAATTTTTTTTATTCTTACTGATTTCATTTATTATTAATTTTTCGGAAGAAAAACTTGGGGGACTGCAGCCCCCCAGCCCCTCCATCTCCGCGGTCTCTGCCAGAGTGTGTGGTAGCACATGCAAAGCGAATGAATCGTCATCAGGGTCGTGTCATTTTTGGTGCCTGCATTCAGCGGTATTACTAAACACCCACAGAGAGTCGGTGTCAAGTGACCGGCCGATGCCAGTGAGATTTCTGTCCGCCATTTTGAAAAAAAAAGCAGAGGAGCCCTGGGATCAAGGTCCACCTTCATGCAAAACATGTGCAAACAGAGGAATATCAGCTAACAGTTATCCTGTTAATATCAGTTATCAGCTAAAAAAAACCGAAATTCTCAGTTAACAGTTATTATTTTAGCTGTTTCTCAGTTAACAGTTAACCCCATTTAGACCCTGGTATAGGTAAATGATAAAAGGTAAAAGAAGCCCGAAAGTTATGAGTCGAACATCAAATAACCGATTTGGCATTTTGCAGATGGTGATTCACCTTAAAGCTACATTCTAGGTAGGTTAACTAACTAATTTATTAATGAAAAAAGCTAATAATAACAACAAGTCCTTAGCCAAGGACGTTAAGGCGGAGGTTATCCCATTTCTCTAATACACATGCATCACAATGATGTACTTGATAGTTACCTGATAAATGAAAATAAAGGACACAATCACCGCAGACAGAAACTGAGTGGAAAACTTAAAATCTGAAATAGAAATATACACTATTCTAAGCACTAACAATAATGTCGAGTATTTGCATAACAATAGATATCCCATCATGCACCACCCTGCATATATTAACCCAYGCGCTCTCTTTTGTGCCACTCTCATCTACGACGCCGTCAAGGGTAGAGCGAATTTTTTGATCAAAAGACTGGCTTCGCGACGCGTCATGGCTAGCAATGAAGATAGGCAGCGCCCAGCACCGGCCGGTGTTCCGGTCCCAGCTCCAGCAGACCCACCGGAACCTCAAGGTCAAAATGCAGAAGAGAATGCTCCAGTTGCAGAACAGCCCTTAGAGGTATATATATTTACTTTTCATAGTTACGTTCCCCATCGCTACTCTTCGCTTCTGCTTACAATGTATGAGCCAGGTTGGAAGTCTACCGCTCAAGTTTCAAGTGAAATTATATCCCTAAAAAAA